AAATAACAAACTGTTGTACCCAATCCTTTGTGCCTGTAGTTCTTCAAAGACTAGACACGGTGTAAGCATTGTGGTAATGCCTCAACCTATCCTTTTGTGTGGGTTTGATTCGGTCATATTTTCTATATTCTGTTTCTTCTAATATATTCACAGAAAAAAGGGAATAAGATGAGGGATTGTTTTAGAGCAGCAGCATATCCCCAATGCCAAGTCTATCTTTTTCTTTTTCTTTTTCTTTTTTTCTTTTTTTTTTTTTCACCTCCTGGGCGATCCCTTGTGCAGCCACATTCCTTAAACACCTGCTCAAGAGAGACTGGAGCTTTTTACTTCCTTTACAAATATGTCAATCAGAGGTATCACACTTAAAAGTGAATTTTGCACAGATTTCCTTTCATTCTTGTTTTCTTGTTTTTCCCATTTTGAATTCATGACGGTGGAACACAAATCGAAATATTTTGAAGACCGCTTTGGAAGCACTTGGGGAAATGGCGTGTTATTGCCTACTGTCTCAACGCTGGACGCTGCAATCATAGTTTTTTATATGGAAAAAATTGTTTGCACTTAATAGTTTGTTAGAGGAGAATGGCTTTACATTTTTGGAGTGTGTAAGGACTCCTTGACAAGGTTGAAATATAAATAGAATTAAAAACCTTTGTATCTATTGAACATTTATTTTAATATTGTTTCAGATTAAACGGGCTCTGTATTATATGTAAATATTGTACTTCAATGATTTATGGGTGAAATGATCATTATTACATTAGTTGAAAGATCCTCATTTCGGAAAATAGTGATATTTCTAATACAGAAAATCTATACCTAATATTAAAATGAATCTTGAATATGCAGGTGAAAAATGTTTCTTTTCTGTTGTACATAAAGAGAATTCAGGTGTATTTTTTATTAATGAAACGTTTGGTATAGGAGATCTATGAAGTCCTCTTATCTAACAGGTAGTGCTGAATGCTAGCTAGCCTGTCGCTGCAGATTCCTTTTACACCATAGGCAGGTAGGCGCAGATGCAGCGGTCTAATTCAGCCATCTCTCCAAGCTCAGGTAAACCACAGGAAGACTAACGCTGGCATAGTTCCCCTCGTTAGCACTAGTCCCATCCATCAACATGCGTGTGATTTCACTTTAACTAACAAATAAGACTGACGACTTATGTTCTGCAGACAGGGCTGAAATCTGTGACTCCTGTTATTGTGAGTAATAATCACTGAACTGATGCCGAACTTGTGAACAAACATTTGACACTGTGTTGAATACCAACTGACTAATGTCAGCACTTGATGGTGGTGTGCGTGCTTGAGGTGCAGGTGTTTTTCAAGCACCCACAAAGGAAGAGAGTGAGGATTTTAACAGTGGGAGCCTTTTCCTCCATGTGACGCCTATTAAAACAGCTTTGACAGACCTTATGTTCCATTTGTGTTAATTTTTCAAGTGTCTTTTCAGCACTCGCCACATGAATCGCTACATGTCTGCATGTAACATATTGTGATTGTGATTTTTCGTAGTTGGGAAATATACCCTCGTGGTTCCCTCCACAGAGGGTGCGATTCAGGCTCAACACACAACATGAAATTACTACTGTAGGTAGTGACACCCAGATAGGGACTCCTATCACTCCACTGGTAATCACATTAGGTTGGTACTTCCATTAGCGTTTAGCACAGCCGCCGAATGCTGACATCAGAACAATTGACCTGTAATTTGATTTCACGAGTAAGTAGAAAGGGCCTCACATGAGACATGACAGAAAAAAAAAAGACTGATATAAATTCAAGATATCACTGCCCTGCCAGGTCATGCTTTTACATGATCATTACAAGGAATTATGGGCTTGGAAACTACATCCCCTCTGCTGATCTACCCAGTTACAATGCTTCCAAGCGCACTGTGCATACTACATTCTACAATATGCATAGATGGATTATGAGACAATGGGCCCCTGGATGCAGACAAAGCAATGTTTTGTGTCTCTTTGTGGTAATTTTGTACCCTTGGGGTGATTCTCTCTGTGTCATTTGTGTGTGTGTGTGTGTGTGTGTGTGTGTGTGTGTGTGTGTGTGTGTGTGTGTGTGTGCTTTCTTTTGGTGACTTTTTGTTATTTGTTGTTCTTGTTTTTTTGTGGTCTTTTTCTCTTTGAAGACGTTTTGTGTCGTTTAAGGTCTCTGTCGTCTCTTGTCATCGCATCTCTTTCAGTGGCATTCAGCACATGAAGCAGAATTCTCAAGTGTTGTTGTTGGTGGAAAACCTGCAGCTGAACTTCAGTAATTAGTTCACACAGGATATGAAGAGATGCTGTCTGCCCAGGGGCACCCTGGGAATATCCCCAAGGGAGCAGGTGACAGTATGTACATGTATATCACAATGTGATAGTCCTGAGTCAGTCTGTCCGTTTGAGCTTGTGTTGGTCCAGGTAAATAAGTCACTAGGATAACCACATTCATGTGTCATTGTTTTATGTTGTTTTTTTTCTTCATCAAGATGCGTTAGCAAAGTTATTGAAGACCCTGCCACACAGGTGTTTTCAGTTATCGGCTAATTAGACCTCCACTCCATGCTGGAAGTTACATGAGGCATTAAACCAAAGTCCATAAAGACCCTGCAGCCATACATTAATAATAATAAAGAAAATGTAAAGGTGTTATTTGGACAAACCCGTGCAGAGGTCTAATGAGGGACAATAAATGGAAACACTTGTGGGGTGTATGATATGCATGAGCTAATAAAGCTAGCTATATTCTATCTACAGCGGTATGCAACACACACTCATAGATGTTGATCTAGTACAAATATATCTTGGTGTTATATGCTCTATCTGCAATCTAGGCCAATAACAAGTCATGGAACTTATTTTCATTATCAAAGCTGTTATAAATTCATGAGGTCCTATTGAACTTCAAGGACAAAATCTAATATATTATTCACTAGATACTAAACTGAGCAGGAACGGCCATTTGATCTAGATTATGACTTTGTTTGCTGTCACTCCATTCCACATAAACGTGTCTCCTAGTTATACTCTATTTACCAGTAAAGGGCGTGTTAGTGCTCCAGTTGACCAGTAGGGGGCAGTGTTGCTCAGACAAATGAGAGCTTGGAAATGCCTCATAACCATTAAATGAACTTGCATTTGATAACAGCTATCACTTGATCAAACAGGGAAAACATTGTCTATATATGTATATCCTGTTGTCTCTCACTCTCCTTTCCTATACAAATGTATTCTACTTCACCCTACTTACTTCATATATACTTTATACTCCAAGTGGGGAATAAAATTGCTCTTCCATAATTTATGAGTCACTTTTAGAAGAAACACGAGCACTCAGAGCCATTAAACCAGCACCCTGTGGCATCAGTGTGAGGGAAGGGGTGGGAAGTGTGATCAGCGGGCTGGAGAGGCACCGATCATCCTGTCAGGGTGTCACTCACCACATGACGGGCTCTGACTGATCTCCCCTGGGCCGCTCACATCTATGTTGAGCAGATATCAGTCAGGATTGGCTTTGAGAGATGTCTTACATGAAAACATGACACTGACTATAATACAGTACATATGCTCTTATGCTGCTCTCTAAACTACATTCTTTTCAACCACATTTATTCATTTTACAAACCGAAGCAACCGCGCTTTCATCTCAGCAGCCATTTGAATAGCAATCAAAACACTGTGGCATACGCTAAGAGCTTGGAACAGCTACATTTATCTTGCATCTTCAGGGAAATAGGTCCCACTTGATAGGAATTCAATAGATTGAAAGAGAGTCCCATTGGTTCTGTGGGGTCCTGCTTTGCTCATCTTCTCAGTGTGATGCAGCTCCCTCGCCTGCATGCCTCCACATATTGACCCAGAGTTTTGTTTACCTAGCAATGTGTGCAGGCGGCTATGAATGATTAATATCGTCTCTCAGAGCTATAAGCCTGAAGAATGAGCAGCATTCGATGTGTTGCAAAACCTTGACAGTTTAAGATAATGGACAGGGAAAATGAATACATGAAATTATGTTTGCAAAATGACATGACACTTTTTAGTTATGTCAGTGATGGATGTCCTCTGAGCAAATAGCACTAGTCAGATTACAGAAATAATTAAAAATTAACCTAGTTTTTTCCATCAAAACTTCCACAGGGATATTGATTTAGGCCATTGTGAGAACAGAAATAAAGAAATGACTTTTATTTAGCAAGTAGCAATAATAACTATCATGTTAAATTAAATCGAACACTGAAATTCAAGCTCCTTTAAATTGGATGTATTGGAAAACTGGGAAGCTCGGATGTCAATGTATAGGTAATTCTCTACTCAGCACTTTGTAGATAGATAACCACCCGTGTGTCTGATCTTTTGGAAACGATAAAAATAGGTACCTAGATGTTAGGGTGCACAGATGTCTGGAACCTACTGCTAACCTGGGTGGTGCGAATAAACGAATGACCAAACTGACACTCTTAAAACACACAATGAGGTTTTTTTTTTTTGTTTTGTTTTTTCTTTGGTTTTTTTTGGCTGCTTGATGGCAAGTTGTGAATTCAACACTGACATTTAAGTTGATATTTCGAACTTGTTTGTTTTGAAGTCATGTTTCTGGCCACCTAAGTCCAATATTCCCTCTCCTTTTAACTCTGTTTTTGGTGTCCATTCCTGAACAAAATATCATACTCTGCAGCTGCTAAATGCACCATTGTTGTTACACTATGTCTGTCTTCTGTCTTGCTTACAGGAAGCTAGAGGGAGTGAACCAAAGCAAGCTGCAGGACAAAAAACCTAAACAAGGTATTTAAATGTCCCATAGAGCTGAAGGGAAGTACTGAGTTATGTGATAATTCTCTGTGGGTTCATCACTACGAGCGACAATTTTCAAATTACATGTAGCCATTGATAATATAAAAAAATGAAAGCTGATAACATGAAGTTAAAGTCATGTCCAGGTTGTTGGAAAAATGTTGAAGCAGCTGTTGTGTATTTTATTATGTAATCAAGCCATCTTTGTAACTCCACTTATGGTCTGAAAAATTCAAAACTACTGAAGTAACTGCCAAGTCATGCTTCAGAATTTACTCCCAATGAAAAATTTATTTTGACTGCATGCTCCAGTAGCTCATTATTCCAGGTCTGTGTGCTGGAAAGAAAGGCAAGCTGGAAAATCAACACTTAAAATAATTCATTCAGAGAAGTAGACTTGTGGCACATCACAAGTCAATTATTGCATTTAAATTATAACACACAGTAGCTTACGTTTTCATTGAGCTTTGTTCAGCATGGCTGTTAGATTAAAATAGTGCCTATATTTCTTTGTCTTATACTGACTTTATTACTGACATTGAATTTGTGATTTACTGCTTCAATTTTAATTGCTTTATCTGTTTCATTGGTCAATCTGCCCTGATGTTTCTGACTGCTTCAGCGTAAAAATGTGCTCTAAAGCTGAAGGTTTACTGATTAATGGACATTACATATAACTGGCCCTAGAAAAGATGTCACACACAACTTCTGTATGTTTTTCCTGTTCATTTTTGCCCTCAAATATTAAACTAAGTAGAGAGCTTCCAATGGCAACAGCACATTACAGTTCCAAAGGCTCCAGCATCAGTTAACCATTAGTCACCAAGAATCAAGAGCACAATGCCACGTCCTCCTATTCTCAATTCTATTCTAAGCCGTGTCCCTTGAGGTGCGGGCCCAATTACTGGGCCTCCACCATGGGAGCAGCTGCACAATTTGCAAGTCACATGACCTCAGCACATCAGTCCCAGCATCACATGTCTTCACACTGCATTAGGAATTAAAGTTCACGAATAGGAAATAAAATGGGGCTTCTTACCCTGCAGAGATTCTGTCTGTCATAGAGGAAGCTTTGTTAAGCTTCATCAGTGCAACTCAGTCTTTACATTTGTCTTAGTGAACAACTATGCTGAGGATATATGTCTTACATTAAGCATGTCATATTTAATTCATGCAATGTTTAGGAATTTTATGTTGGGAGCAGAGTCTAAGAGAGGCCTCAAGCAGTCTGCCAGAGGATGTACTTAATGTGAACTGTATGGGGAGTCCAGTCAGCAATAACTTTGCAGTTATTCAGGATTCTGAACAGTGTGCAGAACCAATTGTTAAACTTTGCCGGGGGGGTGGGGGTGGGGGGATCAATGCAGCTTCAGAGAAGCCACCGAGCTTGGGCCTTAGCGGAAACCATCGATACAGAGCTGTGGTCTAAGCACTTAAAATGTAAATGCATCTTCAATAGCAACAACACGAACGAGAGAGTTGCACCAGTGTCTTGGGATCTCTCCAGGTGCATTGTGTGCATTTATCTGTGAAATCAAAATCTCTGCACAAAGATACAGTGGCCTGAATAGGCATTTTATATGTGAAATATTAAGCTTGACAGTGATGCACTGCAACAAAATAAAACACATGCCCTTCACTCATCATATACACCCTCTGTGAAACATGCTTGATGAGAAACACTCATTTCGTTCATGTGCCCTATCATGTCAGTGTCACTGGTATGCTTATCAATGCTGTGCACCATTCTGCAGTCACAGGAGTAACAAGACTCTTGGTGTGCTCTCGAAACCTGTTGAAGATCAGCTAAGTGGGAGATTATTTAAATGGAACAAGGTGTCTCAAAGGATCTCTTTTGATCTCAGCAAATTTATGTGATATAAATAACTTCAAATTAATTATGCATGCACAGTGGGATTGCAAAGTCCACAGATTCACCAAATTTATGACTGCCCCGATGAGCACTTGCCTGCTCTTTCCAATTTACCACGATTTAGAGATGTTCTACATTTTTGGTAATTTAAAAGTAACCACACATATTTTAATCTGAAAGCCTTGTTAGATAAAACACAACAATATATTGTTTAGTATATTATTGTTAATTACAACTTACAAAACAAAGCAGACTTGCCAGAAATCACTTGAATAATTCAATGTAAAGACATATTTCTGTTAAAGAAGCCAAAAATCCAACATTCGTCTTTATTTGGAACAGTCCAATAAAACAGGCAATATGAAGAATAGTCCATAAAGATTTACTTTAAAAGGCTTTTTTCTTTATAGAGGATGCAAAAGAGACAATAATATATAATAGTAGCAATTAAGGTCACTGTAATCGAACATAACTCTTGCAGAGTTCATGGTCCCTGATATCTCCCCAACCCCCATTTTTCACATGGGGGGCCACCCCTCCAACCCCATTGGCTGGCAGTCTCTTTGCTATCAGGAGGTTCTTTGGGAACAGCTGGTTCCCGCTGCTCTGTAGGATGTTTTCTATCTTGGTTTTCTGGCTTATTGGCATGCAAGAAGCCTTCTTGTGGTGCATGCCACAGTCTCCGGCGTGGAAAATCCGTGGCGCCTCACTCACCATGACTTTCCAGTAGGAGGGCAGGCAGGATACAGTCAGGTGTTGTAAGGACCAGTCCCAGTTGTAGTCGTCATAAGTGCAGAACGTGTCGGTGCACTGAATCAGCTTCTGGTACGTCTCTCTACTCAGAGCCATCCCCATGTTGTGCTCAGTTGACTTCCAGGCCTTCACCTCTACCTTATTTGCTTTGCTGGAGTAGCCAATGTGGCTGTAGCTCCCCAGTGAGAGGATGTCACAGTCTGTGCACTGCTCCCTTTTCAGAGCTGACATCAGCTTTAAGAGATGGATAAAGTCCGGAGACAAGTAGTGGTCCTCTTCGATCAGCAGGACCAGACCCTTATGGTCCTTCAGGACCCGGACCCTGTCCCATACAAAGTGCAGCTTCCACCACCAGTGGTGCTTGGTCTGGGAGAACTTGGCCTCGCGGTAGTGGCCAAATGAGTCGGGGTACTCTGCATTGATGCATCCCAGCTTTAAGGCGTCTTTTTTGGGAATGTCTCTTGGGCAGTCCCTGGGGTCATTTCCAGGGAACTCCTGGGGGTACAGCTGAATGCTGAAGGGAAAGAAAATCTGAAGGACTTGACAGAAGTCAACAGAGGCCACCACTTTATTTATCTCAGGGGACCAGTAGTCATGGCTGAATATCAGCAGTATGCTCTCCACACCTCTGACCTTCCGCAAACTGTCCACTAATAGCTTAAGGTAGTCTGGTCGGTTATGGACCTGAACCACCACAACCAGATCGTCTTTCTGTCGAGAGGCCTTAAACTTCTCTTCATTTCTTATTGTCTGGTCAAAATTTAGCTGGAAAACAATGCCACGGTATACTAAAGTGGTGTTATCTACCTCTGGCTTGGGTATCTTCTCTTTATCCTTTGCTTTTTCTGGATGTGTGTCATTTGCTTGTATAATAGGAGGTGGAACAGGTGCCCGGCTGACTGCAGGTGTGGCTTGCACCTGGATATGGTTGTTGATGCTGCTACTGCTGCTGCTAACGCTGCTGCTTCTCCTCACCGTCTCCACTTCCTTGGGGAATGATCCAGTGTCGTTCTTTTTCTGCCTTCCGCTGCTCCAGAAAGCTAGGCCACAGATAACAACCACCAGAGTCAGTATCACCACCTTCCTCTTGTAGATTCGGAATCTCATGATAGGGGGTCAGCCTCTTGCGAAGGGAGAAAAGTTGATTGTAGAGAAAAAAAAGCACAGGCTTGCAGTTGTGATGGTGTGCTTTGCACAGGGAGCAAGCCTGATTAAAAAGAAGCTGTAATGAGGCTAATTGTTGGCAAAATGAACTGTTGCTGTAAACATGGATCCCACTGGAATGTCATTGGTGGTGGATGAATATTCCATAAGGCATGACGGGTGCTGGGAGGCAGCAGTGTTGCAGTGTGCATGAACCACCTGAATGAAAAATAAACCAGGAAATAAACTTAGGGCGAGCAATATGGTTAAAATCATTATCAAAGTGTTAAGAGGAATATTTTCCAAATAGGCAGCAAATCACAGTATGACAAATACATGCAAAATAAAATAGAAAGTAATCAAAATGATGTCTATGACAGTGACCCATCTTGCACATTAAATGAGACCTAACGTTTCATGTGTAAAAACTTGTGAAATATGTGTGACACTTCATTTTTCAACAGCAGTTTGATAAAATAATCTTAACTAAGGTCCACTTAATAGCTTTTCATGGCATATATAATACTAGCATATATATTATGTAGGTTGCATGTTGACAAATGAACCAGCGCTATGACAACTAAACAAACTCAGTTAGGAAATGAAGACCATGAGATGCAGTGTAAAGCTAACTACTGATCCTACGGTTACGAATATTAAATCAAACTATTGCCTCCGAGATCAAGAATTAACTTTCACTCTCACATTGGAGTTTTTACTTTATGCATATAAAGAGCATAGGCTTGTGTAATGCACAACATTGTGCAACAATAAGTGTTTTTTTAATGTTAATTATAGCTTGCTGTGAGTCATTAATTTGGAGAACAGAAATTTGTAGGATGATAACATTACTAGATTGTTGAAATTTGAAAAACTGTAATCATCCAGCCTTACTGGAAGTACATTTGTTAAAATAGCTAACTTAATTTCACATAACAATCCAATAGTCTCTACAAAGTAGTATCACTTAAACCACTAACATAATTTAATAATAAACATATCTCTATGACCACTCTATACTCCCTCTTTAGTTATCAATTTTGATTATAGCTCAATACTTCTTTATTTTCTTCTGCATAAATCGCTGTCCTTAACTGCATTGTAAATATTGATTAGCTCTTTCTACTCAGATCTGCTGAACAAAACTCCATCTTTTTTGTTATTAAATTAGTGGTCTCTCTGGCTTCCTACCTGACCCCATTCATTCTCCTCTTTTTCTGGAGACTCTTCAGCTGAATGGTCACAGTGCGACACTGCCTGGTATAGGCATTTGACACCAACTGTATTAGAGTCTCTGATAATATTAATGAATACATTCCTGGTTGCTACTGTAAAACTCAACAAAGAAAAACAAATGCTATCTGTAAACATGTACTTTAACACAGTAATATTGGATTTAAACTTTAAATACAGTAGTTTATGAAAAGCGGATTAGATGGCAAAGCTATCTTATCTATAGGTTTCATATCTTTGTAATATGTATGTCCCTATACGGGCTTTCCATACATTTGCAGCTCAAGTGAACATCAAGTGAAAGGTTTGTTCTGCAGCTGTTTCAATCCACTGTATTTACAGCACCGTTTTATTCTACCAGTGTCTGTATCTATCGTGTTTCCTTGCTCTGATATGCAATGTTTCACTTCGAGCCTAACACGGTTAGTTTTTCTGTCCTGAATTGGCCGCTGTCAGGCACACCGAGCCAGCCACAGCTTTAATCGATTTTAATACGAGATGCCGTTGTCGTCGTGTCGCCGACTGATATGAAATACTCTCAAAGCGACCGAAAACAACAGTTGTCGTCGTTTCAGTTTCGGTCTTTAATGACAACGAGCATCCAGAAAAATGCTAGCCGTAAGTTAGCTTCAGCTAGCAACTTACAAGCTGCCCGTCCACACCGAACCTCGCCAACAACAACGTCCATGGCGAACCAGAACAACCATATTCACACTAGTTACCTAACACTGGAGAAGCCGTACGGTCCTTTCAGCGAGAAACATCAGTACGGTGGGGTCCCATTCTCCTCCATACCTTCCAGCAGGATGCATGGAAACGCAACTATCAGCTAGCTGTAGAAATCCCAAATACGGAACCACTGCCTGCCCCTGCTGCTGTCCCACAATGCACTGGTCCAGCGGGGGGCACCCGAGACACCCTAAATGTGTTCGTGTATCCCTGCTGATGACAGCCTTCCTGAGCTCAACATGGGTCGGAACAGTTTTACTATACCTTTAAGTGATTCACTAATCCATACCAAGGCTTAATATACACATTTATATGTTTAGATGGAAAATCTACCCTAAAACATGAATTTGCTTAAACATTGTGCTTTTCTAGTGCTGCAGGTTACATACAAACAACTGTTTCCCTAAAATGGAAACCAGAGCATCAGTATTTTAAATGCTGGATTGTTTCATTTAATATCGTTTTATTTGACAATTGGGCTTACAGCTGTGACTGAAAATATATACCCTAGTTAAATTACCATGGGAGCTGTCACTGTGACCTAGGGGTTGTTCCATTATTCACTATCTATGTAGCAGCTCCAGGTGTTGCCTTATTCATTCCCAGCAGTAGTTTTCAGGCTACTTTTGGTGCACATAAAGTTTGTTGGTGCAAATTTGAAAAGGATGAAATCCTTCATAGCAACAATAAATATAGAATATTTATATTTAGACATTTTTATCTATAGTCAGATAATGGAAAGCTATTTATTCAAGTTCTGTCATGACACACACAAATTACTAAAATTGTTGATTTTGCCTGGATAATTGTAGCTAGTATGTTGATTAAACAGCTTGTTTTCAGGTTGATACAAAAACAAGTAAGAAATGTGAACAGATAAGTCATGCATTTATCACCAGGTGTACAAATATACTGCTTCTTCTATCTACACAAACATCTACTTTCTATTAATATAACGTTTTCATTTTCTACTTTAAATACTGTGGGTTAACCCCTTTGTGGCTTTTGTTTTATATTATTAAACAAGGGCAAACACTGTGTTCTGTACATGAGTATAAAACAGAAAACAAATCTTTAGGCCTAGATATTAAATTAAACTCATCATATCCCTTCTATTCTCATATTGAGGAAAATAAGGAAACAGGAAAATAACTGTTGACCCATGCACAAAATGTTGTCTTTTAAATAAAATATTGTTCAAAAACATGTCATATCATGTTCAAATTAGGCCTAATGAAGGTCTGAACGTATGAAAAACATATTTCCTCATATTTAACCTGTAGTTTCTCTTTATAAAATGCCTTTTGTTTATTCCGTTAACTCATTTTATATAGTTCCAGCTACAGTAAGTGCAATAAATGAACTTAAACGTCTCCACTCATCACTGATAGTGTTGAACCCCAAACCTCCGTGTATGTGTTTACCCCATGGCGTTAACTGTATGTGACGCCCCCTGCAGGCTGTCCCGCTACATGCTGCAGTTCCCCCCCGCCACTGGGAGGCGCAACATACAAACACCACAACCGGAAGCTCTCCTAGTTGAATGCTTCATTGGCGCACGCGCAGCCCTCTTTCTTCCTTTCCGACACTCGAGCGAAAGAGACAAGATGGGCCATCAGCAGCTCTATTGGAGTCACCCCAGAAAATTCGGTCAGGGATCCAGATCCTGGTCAGTCCTGCCTTTAATGTGTCAAATGTCGACATGTGAACTAAATCGTGCTGGTTTGAACGTATTTGTGGCTTTCAGTAGTTGATAATTCATCAGTAGTTTTGCACCGCATGGGAGCTGACCGTGAGCTAATATGGCGGTGGAGGATACGGATGCGCCTTGTTAACTTAACAGCAGTACAGTTGTGCTCAGTTAGCCGCTCACTGTTCTTGAAACGAAACTGCTCGTGTTTAATGTGCAGAAATCTTATTACACATTTGCATGTGATTTCAGGAGGTTATTAATGTAAACTGTCTCTTATAACATTGTAAGCCTGACCGTTTTAGATCTAAAGTATATGTGAAGCTAGGCTAGGATTAGCCTTGATGCACAGAGAAAGGCTTGCCCATGATAACCAGCGCCAAGTTTGTGTGGGACACCGTACCTGTACTCTATGAATGAGTGAATGATAACCACAGTCATATTTGCTCTATTATGTAAATAAATAAAATAATAATTTCCCTTTTTACTCCAGCCGGGTATGCTCGAACAGACACGGTCTGATCCGTAAATACGGACTCAACATGTGCCGCCAGTGCTTCAGGCAGTACGCTAAAGACATCGGCTTCGTCAAGGTAAATACTATCCATTTTCTATCAATTTGTGTTTACATAGTATATTTGACTTCATATCAAATCGTAGCGTTAGTAAAGGCTGGTGACGGCGTCGGAAAGGCTCGTTAAGCACATCACACAACTTCAGCAATAATATTGTTCTAACTTGTTTAAACCTGCATTTTAAACAAATGTAGTTTGTCTCATCTAGAAAATTGGCTCTTAATGAGCAGTTTCGTAGCACATATTTGCAGACATCAGCCTCCCTCTTAAAAGAGTAATGAACTTATGGTTCAGTTGTCACTTAATATGACTGAATAGTCTGGAGAAATTGAAACAACAATGCAGAAAGTGTCTCTCTAACCATAACTAACGACTTGATTATTATTTTCACACAGCTGGACTAGATGTCTTGCGCTGACATCCTCAGGTGGTGATCTCTGGAAGGCCAGCCAAGATGGGATAATTCAGCACTGCAAATAAATGTGTTTTTTTGTCCAAGTTAATTGTTTTGTGTGTTTATTCATGAATTGTTTTCTAGGCATGCTGCTGGGTATGATTAGGTAGTATTAATATCACATTTAAACAAATTTAGTCACTTAGCTGAAACACTGGTATGTGAGCCACTGTCACTCACAAATTTCCAGAGACTTTTAATACGCAAAGGACGAGTATTTGTGCTTTAAAATAGTTGCATACAACTTTGTGTGAAGCAACAATTGTACCATAACTATACCAGATAATTGCTTTCTCTGAACTGGTTTGAAAAGGTTTTAGTTCTCACATAATGTTCTGTGGACTTATTTATAAGGTTTAGAGCGTATGAAGCCCGGAGTACCCCTTGTACACAAAACTCAAACTCTGATCACCTGGAAGATACACACTGGATGCTACATAAACTTTCAAATTACACAATCCACCTAAAACCCCAGACGCTCTGAATACATTTATGAAAGCATAATTTTTGTTTATGGTGTTGATTCAATCATCGTCTTTTATAGAAATGTAACTGGGATACCTGTCGTTACAAAAAAAAAACAAACTATATAGCCTGTAACATCCTTGAGCAATAAAACAACTTAGACTCCACAAAAACATTATTTAAGGAGGGTAGTTATTGCAGGCCTGTTGGTGTAGCATCACATCTTAAAAGTAGTTTTGTTGCCCAATTACTGAGAAGCAACTGGCACCTAATTTTTATGGTTACAGCACTGTTTAGGTATCATATGTCGGCATCTACATAATTAGAGGATAATGCTGAAGAAGTAGGGGTTATCCTTGGAAACTATAATGTCGGTTTAATATAGACAGATGGGTAAGAAAAGAAAAAGGAATATTTGTTCAAACTTGATGTATTAGAAACAGCTCTCAGATCAGTTGTGGATGCCAAAATATACCAGGTGGAAGATCAAATTTGATGCTGTAATTTTTAGATCAAGCAGTCAAACTTATCAGCAATCCTTAATGGGGCATTAGCTGAGCTATTTTGTAAGAAATTAAGTACAGCAATTGATCATTTAGCATGTCGCCTACATCATAATAAATGGCACTGCAGTAAAGAGTAACTGATCTTTGGCAGTTGCAAAGATTAATTTCCTAGTCAGCATGCATTCACATGAAACAAAATGCCCCCCCTTACATCCAAGAATTGGTAACGTGCTGGGGTATTGGTCTTGTTCACAATTAATGAAATCTGATAGGACCCCTGTAGTGTGGCTAATTGCTTACTTCCTTGTGACTTTGGTTACCAAACTTTGAATATTGAGTAAGCTCAGCAGCAGCAAGGCACCTTGGCAGGTGGAATTCTGTGCAGATCCATATATAGACTTTGGCCAGGATTTAATAAAGTAATTCTTTTTTTTTTAATGTCCTCTGGCTTTAAGACAGAAGGTTAAATGTGAAACACTAGATGGCAGCAACACTTCACATTCATGATTCAAGGCCAGTGACAATGAAAAGCATTACACAATAGTGCTTACAAATGCTATTTCTGCATTGAGATATTCTTCACATTCATCATATGTAGATAACCATCCCTTTTACCCGTTCTCTTCAAGCAGTTATGAAGCTTAATTTTAGGTTTTATTGGCCACTTAGTGACGTTAAAAGAAATTTCAGAGAGGCTGATGAAAAGCACCTCTTCTAGACTGGTTGAAAGAGCACTGAAAATATTTTTACTACGGTAGATATGGTGTTCCTTTGATTTTTGAGAAATACAGTTTTTAACATCTACTTTGATTCATGCCAAATCTACAATGTATATTTAGATCACACCTTGCACTTTGATGATTTATCAGCTGGAGGTCTGGCATTGGCCCTATTTAATCTGAGGCAACAAATAAATTATGTTTGGCAAAGTCCTGTTTATCAGAAATAACAGATCTCTTTGTGCTCAGCAGGATCAAGATGAATCCTTAATGATCACATTTGGGTAATTGGAATGTGGCAAAAAATAATAAGAAAGATTTCAGCAAGATGAAGGTTATATGAACACAAACCTACAATCTGAGCCTGATAACATGCTGTATAGAAATGATAAGATGTATGAAAAGGAATGGAAGTGTGCAAAATGGGACCAGTAGAACCTTTCATAATGAGGCACAGAAAATCTAATATAAAATGAGCAAATGCAGTAGCAATGAAATACACGCATACGCTCTGATGAAGAAAAAGAAAAAAATTAAATATGACATGCAGTATGTAACTGTACAGGATGTACTTTACATTCTAAATCTAACACATTATGAAATGCATAATGTGAGGAGTCAAGTATCATTATCCCATAAAAACACAAATGAAAGCACAGCATGTGCAGAACAGCCTGCAAGGATGCAGGATGTCTGTGTACATCAAATATGCATGTATTGTATTGTACAAGC